GGTAAGCCCCAGAAATTGCTGGATAGAATAAATATCCTCTCTGACCTAAGAATGCTTTAGGATCAACCAGTATGAGCTGGAAGGTGTCACCAACGAGAAGGATGTCTGGGGTTTGCACTTGGACCTGTTTGCAGCTGTGAATGAACATGAATGCACTACCTACTGGCCGGGGGAGTTTAACTTGAAGCAATCTTCTTTAAATAACCAACAACCCAGATCAAAACAGGAAAAAAATTGCAGGTGAGAGCTAGAAATGTTCCTTTTGGTCACTAATCCATTCTTTAGAGAATGAAGACATATGAATCTTCACAACAATTCACCACCAACCCTTTTAACCCTTTGGATCACAGTTGGGGCTACTTTATTTCCTTTTTTATTGTGTATTCCTTTAGAACAAACCAGTACTCAAAGTCCCCACAACACCTGAGCATCCTGATAAGATGGCGGATGGCCTCCTGAGCAATTGTAGATAGAAATGTATGATAGAGACCTTATTCAGTTAAATAACATGCTGCTGTAATTTTGCACATCTCTGATGTTGCTGCTATAAGAAAATGAAAATGCAAATAGGATGATTGATTACTAATTTTATTTATGAGACAAATAATGCAGCCATATACTTAAAATGAAAAGCATTTCAAGAAATGCTTTTTCATTTTCAGATTTAACATTTTAAATTGAATTTTGGTATGTATTTGCTGGGGTACATTTTGAAAAATAAATCTCAAATGTCTTTTTCATTTTAATTAAGTAAAAGGATGAACAGTGTTAAAGGAGAAAATGAAAATGCAAAAAGGATTATTGATTACTAATTTCATTTATGAGTCAAACAATGCAGCCACATTCTTAAAATGAAAAAGCATTTCTGAAAATGTTTTTTCATTTGAAATATGGTAACGATTTGCTTCCATACCAAGAACCTTTTTCCTCTGAGCACGGAGCAGGCGGCTTGCTTGGTCTCTCAATGAATCCTGGGATAACCAACACTACATAGGATACACCGGACCAATCCTTTAAATTGGGCAAAAAGGACGCATTTGTAGGCTGCATAACCAGTAGTCTTGGAATCCGACCAGACCTCGGCGCCACCCTATGGTGTAATCGGCCTTCGGAGGACGTATCCCATAAATTTGAACGCAGACTTTGTCTCACAAGGGGTCTCAGGATCTCATCTCAGTACATAATGACAGACATGCTACCTCTGACGAGCACATAGAGGGCTGTGCGTCCCTCTAAAGAAATGCCACCCCACACCATTACTGATCCACTGCCAAACCGGTTATGCTGAAGGATCTTGCAGGCCGCTGATTGCTCTCCACAGTGTCTCTCTAGACTCTGTCACATGTGCTCAAGGTGAACCTGTTTTTATCTGTCTAACTTGCCAATGCTGTGTTCTCTGGCAAATTCATGAAAAAGGTCCCATTGTCGAATAAAAATAATACCCAAATACAGTACTCATCCACTAGAACATTTCGTTGTTTGATCAGCAAAAATGGAAACAGACTGAATGGTGTTGGAAGAATGAACTTCTGTGGACAGCTAACTATAAAGGATCTCAAACAGGAGCAAGTCCCAGAAAAAGAAAAGTCACAAATAGAAAGCATACAGTCCGCCATTTTTGCAAAAATCTGTTCATGACTTAAAAACAGTTGTCATAGACAGTAAACATATACGGATTATGTTTTTTCATATAAATAATTTTAAAACAAAAAAAGCAATTACATATTTGTATGATAAACATTTTTATTTTGACAATACTTGACACACTGCTGTTAGAGGATTTTTGAAATGTGAAGTCTGTCATTGTGTCTGTGCTGCAGCAGATGTCACTAGTGAGCAATGAATGAAGTGTAAACTAAAGAAATGAAGCATCAATGAAGAAATGAAGCATCAAGTAATGACATTTTAGGCAAAGCATTGGGTTGGAAAGCTTCATTGCTTTGTAAGGCTTCATTTTGCTGTCACTATTGTGTGGGTTGTAGAGTCCATCTAATGCTACCACGAGTGTGAAAGCACCACAAACATTCAAAATTGACCTAAACATCAGCCAGAAAACATGAGTGCTGAGAATTGCTCCGTGGTCTTCACCTGCAAAACCACACCTTTATTGAATGTGTCTTGCTAATTACTAATAATTTCCACCTGTTGTCTGTTCCATTTGCACAACAGCAGGTGAAACTGATTGTCAATCAGTGTTGCTCCCAAAGTGGACAGTTTGTTTTCACAGAATTTTCATTCAACTGAAGTTATGTTGTGTTGTTTACATGTCCCCTTTATTTTTTTGAGCGGTGCATATATGTGAAGGTTGGATTATTTTCTTACTTAATAAATTTAATCCACATATTCATTTTGGTTTAAAATTTACATCTTACTAAAGACATCTTTAATCAGACATTTCTCTATGGCTAAAATAGGTCAATATTGAATATTTTATTTATAGTGCATTTTATTAATAGCATTCTCAACAAAAGTGCACCTACCTTTTTAAGGTGAATTCTGGATTAGTGCTTGATTTCTAACATGCAGTGACTCAAAGCTCTGCAAAGGATAGCAGGAAAATCTTTTCATGAAACTATAAAACATAATTTAACCCAGAGGTGGGTAGTGTACCAATGTAAGAGTAGTACTATTTCAATGTATTTTTGCTAGAGAACAGTAAAATATCCAAGAAATAACTAATGTGATAGTAAAGATTTTCCATAAAAAAGCTATTTCAGTACAGAGTAAATGATCATAGCAATCAGATCTAACATTCAAGAAGGTCTTTAAGATTTAAGATGTGAGAGGACAAACCATAATACAAAGTTATGTGCAGTATCTGGAGTCTAATAAGAAAAAGGTATTCAACACCGTACACTCCTCCCATGGGCAATATATACTTTTATACTTTTCACTGTGTAATATTTAGACCTCCATATGTTATAGAAGGGGCAGCAGATTAAATTAACATTTCACAACTTGTGTATAAATAAATAAAAAGAATACTTATTGTATTTCACTGTCCTGTGTCTGATGCATTGAAGGTAAGAATGGGTTTTCCTTTCACTGAAGTTACTCACAATAGAGTAAGCATACTTTTTTCCCAAGTGATAGTACATATACTTTATAGAAATATTTCTCAAAAGATAAAAATGTACAGTGTAGTAATAATACTCAGAAAATGACATTTTTGTCAAAAAGTTACACAAGTAAATGCAACTGGCTAGGCTGCTACCCACATCTGATCAAACCTAATTGGACAAACATATTTTACTGTTAACAACATAAAGCTCTAAAATCTTTTAAATGATTGCAAATGACCACTTAAAATCCAAAATAGAATCCAAAGTCATCCTATTACCTTTATCCACGTTTTAATTTATGGCCCCTTATCTAAATTGGGTTGTGCCTAATTATTTCCACCTGCGCCAAACCATAACCGCACACACAAGGTAAAATTATACATTACGTTACATTTATAAATAAATAAATAAATAAATAAATAAATAAATATCGCCTAAGCTAAAGTTAACCATTAGTAACAAAACAAAAAAAACAAAAAAACTGAAATACCCACTGGGCTATTTCTGTAAAAATTAACACTTTATGCCAAAGCTAAAACTGTAGCATATTAGACAATAACATTTATTAAATTTAACTATAGTATGTCCGTTGTGTTACATATAGATTTTAGTACGAGTAAGTCCTAGTTCTATTTAATGTAAATAACTTTTTACTACCCAAAAACAAAACAAACTATTTCGTATTTACCTTCTTTAAATGAACGTCCAGCACTTAACGGCTACAATGCGCCACCTAGTGACAACTAGTGTTAGTGGGGGTTTTTGCAGCTTTTTTCAAGATTCCGTCGAGATGCAATGCATATTCTATGCCTGGTTTACTTCGCAGCCAGTAAAAGTATGGCAAGGCCATTTACCAAAAATGATGGTCAACGTTTTTTACTCATAAAAAACAGGCGTTTTAGTATGGCTGTTTTCCATTACATTTCCAATATATTTGAAACTTAAAAGAGCATTTTACCACACAAAAGACATAAATTTACACTCATAAATCTTCTCCTGCATTTCCATCAGGGTCATGGTGAGGCTGACATAAATACAGCCATGTACAGACAACTAAGGCAATTTATAAACACTAATTAACCAACCCTTGTAAGGGAGAACATGAAGGAAGACCCCATTTAAATTGAACCCAATACCTTTCTGTTGCAAGGCAACAGGCAAACAAAATGCATGGCCTACTGTATGTGGAATACATGTGTCTGCAATGTGTCTTCTGTGGGCCAGTAAAATGTCATCATTAAATTTGAACAAACATGATGGGCATCTGATGTCAAATTTTCCAAGGAAGCATGTTTTTAGACTGTAACAGATAACTCCCAAGATTATAAGGAAGACTGACTAATATATGTATATATATTTTTTCTTTTTTAAAACGGAAATAATCACCAAGAGTATACAACAAATATCTGCATATAAATATGTGTATGTGTTCATAAACTGAGGTGAAACTCATCATTAGGGGCGCACACTTGGCCAGTGAAGTTGATCAGATGATCAGATCTGATGTTTCATGTGTCTATTAAAAAATTGCATGTTTTCTTTAACCACTAACCAACATAAATTCATGTTGCATTATTTATTCCTTCTGGATGTTTTGCTCAGGACTAACATAGAAAATATCTGCCAGTCCATATAACTTTTATGGTAAGTTTACTATATAACATATAGAAAAGTGACTTTATCTTTAACATGTTCCTTATCCAAATGATAAGTGGAAAACTTGAATTTCCCTTTAAAACGCGAGAAAAGTATGTAGGCCCATATGTCAGAAATTTCTGTTCAGTTGAACATAGTTTTCTCAACAATTAGAGTGACACTAGAACCTTAAAAAATAAATAAATAAATAAATAAAAAATGTAAGATTATATAATACAATTGCTTGCCATATTGAGCTTCACTGATCATGAGTACACCCCCCACAAGAGCTACAGCCTCTGTGCGCGTTCACGTTTCAGGTCTGGGGATGTTGGTGCCGTCTCCGCGCCCCCGCCCCCAGAGTGAAAACTTTTTTTCTCCTAAAAGGAATCCGTAAAAAGATGAAATAAAATGTTCAGGTAAGAAACCATCATATCGGTTCATCTGTTTTTTTAAAGCAAAGGTTAACTTTAAGACATAACTTTCTAAGTTTCTTTTACAGTTTGCTTTAGGATATTGTTCTTTGAAAAAGAAAAAGTGTGGGCGTGAGTTTTTCGGTTTATTGTTTAAAGGCAGTTTCTGTTTTTTGTTTGTTTGTTTTTTGTTATGTGGTTTAAAAGTTTTTTATTATTATTAAAATAGCTCCTCATGCGTTCTTGTTGCTTCTTTTGTATTTATACTTCCAAGTGTTAGATAATAACTTTGAAAGTGCTTCAGATTCCATTATTGGAATAATAATTAAAAAAAACATTATGTGTTGAATGTTATAAGCCGATCAATGATTTTTCTTTATTTTGTTTAGTCTGGAGCAGCTAAACAACAACCTTAACTGATCAATAAAACAATGTTTTATCACTGCTACAGTTCAATGGAAAGCCAAGGTTTGCTTCATTTAGGAACAATACCATTGCTTTTTATGTCTTCAATTATTCTGCTTGTAAAAAAGTCTGTTTTGCTGTATATGCATCAGCGACAACCTATACCTCGGATAACTTTAAGCATTTTTTTTTTTTTTTTTTTTTTGCAGAGTTCTGAGCAGATTTTACCAAACTATTGGTGACAAATGAAAAGTTTCTCAGGCTGGACAAAGCCCTTTATGATACTGCTAATTTAACACAAATTAATCAGATTAAAGAATTACAACATTCTTTGCTGTAATCTCACACAATCATCCAGGCAAAAATGCAGGTTTGCCATGTTGGAATGTTAGAAGTTTAGCCACTATGTCTTGGAAACATATTCATAAACTACACAACTGCTTTTAAGCATGCTCATTAATTATTATTCATGCATAGATATGTATGGATAACAGCATTAATGCAAACATTTTTTACAACATAAAAGTGATGGGTCAAGGCTGGATTGGTTATTGAGAAAATATGTGAAACTGTGAGGCTTTGATAGATTGTTTTTCCCTTTTCTACAATTTTCCTCTATAACCACACTGAAAACCTGAAATTTATGGTAAGGAAAATAAAAAGTTGACTTTCCCTGTAGTCTGTCAGAATCCAACATCCTGACTTATTATTTATGTATTCACTTTTCCTAACAAAAGGTCTAGAAATCTAAAAGATTAAGAGGAAAACTACAAGGTTTTGCCTCAAAAGTAATCCATCATTTGGAAGTGATCATAGTTCGATCAACTTTGACAAGTCGTTTCATCTGAAGAAGGTGAAAAGATTCCCAGATGATGATTATGCCATCACCATCTTTCACTATGGAGTTTTTTACTACCTTTTTTGAACTGTGACTTTAAAAAATGAATGAATTAGATTAAAAGATTGTAGAATATTAAGCCAGATGTTTTATGCTTTATCACATCGTAACACAACAAATATTTTGCAGAATGTTATTTCATTTGACTTTTATCTTCTTTGCAGACTTCATGACTACTTTCTTTCTTGTCTTTTCATTTGCTTAAAAGAAAAAAAAACTGTTTTTGGGACGTTTTTACTATAATATTATCTCAATTCATTGAAAACTGTCCTTAGTGTCATGTCGGGTGTGGCCCAGTTACTTTAAAATTTAAAAGACGGTGCTTTAACAAAGAATGTGAATCTATGAAAAGTTGTTTTATTAAAAAGATAAAAACATTTTTTTCATTTTTGTCATGTTTTGGCCTGGTAGTACAGGTTTAATCAAAGATCAAGGTGCGTTGTTGAAACTTTTATCTTCGGCCTGGAAATCATTTACCAAACTTAAGCTCTTGACTTAATGTGCCATTAAATATTTTGATGTTGATGATTTGTTCTGGTTAAACTATAAAGCAAAAGGGTCTCTTCAAGTACTCAGTGTGTCATATTTCCACACAGACTAAGTGCTGCTGATTGTGCTCTCCACATGGGTTTTAGAGTTATAGTTCAAACTAACATTTCTGCCAGAAATATTCTGAAGTGGGGGAATAACGTCACCCATCTCTAGCTGTCGCCAATCAGGCTAAAACTAATAATTATCCTCTCGTCCACAGATAAGCATCTGTCTGTAAGTTAAGCTCGGACAATCAGCCAATCCGTGATTGGACTCTTGTCGTCCTGAAGAGTTGCTGCTGTCAGACGCGGTGGGACTCAGGGTTCCCCATGGAGACAGTGGTGATCGTGGCCATAGGAGTGTTGGCCACCATCTTCCTGGCCTCTTTCGTTGCCCTGGTGGTGGTGTGCAGACATCGTTACTGCCATCCTCATGACCTGCTGCACCACTTCGACTCAAAGTCAGTAAAGAAATGTGACATTTAGTTCTAAGACGGTGAATGCCAACATATACATCTGTCCCACAGTAAATAACCAAAGAATAATACATTTAATGTCCTGTCCCTGGTCTTACCTGGATTTTTCTGCTTTTAAAGCATTTCAGTTACACACTATCCACCCATTTTATTTTTATTTAGTCATATTTTGTCCTTTATCTGTCCACTTTTAATGCACAATGTAATTTGTGATAATCAGATACAGGAAAAATAAGTAAAATGCATCTGAAGCCCCTCCCAAAAAGCTTTAAAAAAAATAACTCTAGGAGCCTGAAAAACCAGTGAAAAATATATTTAGAAATCCCTGTTTGACAGTGATATTAACTGATAAGATATATATTAAGGACACTAAGAAAACTAATTTTAATGTGCATCTACCTCTATTTTTAATTGCATCATAGATTTTCTAACAAACCTAAAGAATTTATTTCTATCTTGATTCGCCTCCTTTTAGTAAATATGATGAATACTTAGAGATTAGTACAAGTTAAATAGGTATTCACTCTGTCTAATATTGTTTAAACTCTAATGGTTCTAATTTGCTTCTCATCATATAAGATTTCAAAAATGGTTTAAAGTTAATGAACTTTCACCTCATATCCGAAAAACTAACTTAACGATTTTTAGTTTAAAAAAAAATACATACATTCAAGAAGGGATCAAATTATTTATAAACGGCTTAAGAATTAATCCAGTGCCTCAAACCAAGTTTTTAGGACTTATTGTTAATGAAAATTTAAGTTGGAAGCAACATACTGAACTTGTTTGTAGAAACACAATGAAATAAAACATTTATTTTAAGTAGAGTTGGTCATTTTATTAACCATTCTTGTATCATGACGTTATATCATAGTTTAATATATCCATATATAACATATTGCTGTACTGCCTGTTAATCATATCTTTATAAGATTCATATAATTCAAATGTTTATAATGAAGTTCTCAAATAGACTCTCTTCATTTTCTCCTCTTTTTATAGAAGACAATAAATAATGTAAACATTTATATCGTACGCCTTCCTTTACGTATATAGGAATAATTACACGTATTTACTGTATACTATATATCTATAATTTTTCATTGCTTGTTTACACATTCTTCTCATATACACACATATTAAGTCTAGTGACCTATATTTACCATTATGCAGAACATCACTTACATATAGAGTGCCTTTTATTTGGAACACACTACCACCAGCTCTTTAATCCTCAACAACGATTCACTCTTTTTATAAACAGCTAAATGCTATTCACAAAACATAATGTGTATATTTTAATGCATTAAATATTCCAACTTGTCTATTTGTGCTACTATAAATTGTTTTGTCTTAGGATAGGTGTCTTATAAGACCTTAGGGTCTCCTTAACCTTTCCTATACAGTTTTTAACTGTACATTATTGTTAATATTTTTTGTATGTGTAAATTAATCTGAATCTAAATTAGAGATATCAAAGATTAACATTTTTACAGCAGCATATCTTAAGATGTACAAATAGGACCCAATATAAGGCAAGGATTTTTCATGGTTTAATTGTCGTTACCATAAAACAGGCCTTCCTTTTCAAATAAAAATCCTTTCCACATCCAAACTGATATATCCTGTCAGCACTTCAGGGTCATCCCCCCTTGCAGTGGTGCTGCTGAGAGGGAGAGAAGCAGTTCTGTTTAGAATCTAGAATGTAGTCCGGCCAACTTTTATTTTTATTGAAAGAAAACATATTTAACATTGTCTCTGGGAGGTGGAGAACAAACATAGAACATAGCTTTATTCCTCTTAAATAACTCTATGTTTAGATTTTTTTTGCATTAAAAGACACATTAGTTGTCATTTTAAATCATGATGCAGGTGAATGATGCAGTTTTTAATTTTAAGCCGTTGTTTTTTGCATATTTTAATTTTGTAAATGCTTCTATATCCATTACACATTTATCCGCTTAGTATATATTATCATTTATTTTTTCGTCCAAATCTTGCCAAAACTGGGTGATACAAATCACCTCAACACGTCAACCAAATTAAGTCAGGTAATTTATGCCAGAGTTGCACTGCAAAAAGATCTAGAAATAAGTAAAAATGTCGGTAAAGTATATTAACTCTCAACTTGAGTAGGTAAATAAGATTATATGCCAATGAAATTTGTATTTTTTACTCTTAAAATACAATAATTAGATAATATGCACTTGAAATAAGACAATGCAATGTTTTTTTTCTTATTTAAAATATAAATTGTCTTTTTCCATTGGTCAAGTGTCTCACTTACCTCAATTCAAGAAAAAATGCACTTAGGAAAAACATCTTATTTAGATTGAGGAAAACCAATAATAAAAAAGAAAAACTCCAGATCCATCCAGCAAATACTAATCATAATTCTCAATAACTGAATTAAAGTCTGGAAAGCTAGGCTTCTTGGAAAGAAAGGGTCATCCGTCTGCCCTTTATGGAGAAAATTAGACTTTAAGATCACCACTTAATGCAAGTACTGAGGCAGCTCTACTTACAGGTGCTGGTCATAAAATTAGAATATCATGAAAAAGTAGATTGATTTCAGTAATTCCATTTAAAAAGTGAAACTTGTATATTATATTCATACATTACATACAAACTCATATATTTCAGATGTTTATTTTGTTTAATTTTGATGATTACAAATGACAACAAATGAAAATCTCAAATTCATCATATCAGAAAATTAGAATATTACTGAAGATCAATAAAAACAAAGGATTTATAGAAATGTTGGCCAACTGAAAAGTATGAACATGAAAAGTATGAGCATGTACAGCACTCAGTATTTAGTTGGGCCTCCTTTGGCCTGTATTACTGCAGCAATGCGGCGTGGCATGGAGTCGATCAGTCTGTGGCACTGCTCAGGTGTTATGATAGCCCAGGTTGCTCTAATAGTGGCTTTTAGCTCTTCTGAATTGTTGGGTCTGGTGTATTGCATCTTCTTCTTCACAATACCCCATAGATTTTCTATGGGGTTAAGGTCAGGAGAGTTTGCTGGCCAATTAAGAACAGGGATACCATGGTCCTTCAACCAGGTACTGGTAGCTTTGGCACTGTGTGCAGGTGCCAAGTCCTGTTGGAAAATGAAATCTGCATCTCCAAAAAGTTGGTCAGCTGCAGGAAGCATGAAGTGCTCTAAAACTTCCTGGTATGTGGCTGCGTTGACCCTGGACCTCAGAAAACACAATGGACCAACACCAGCAGATGACATGGCACCCCAAACCATCACTGACTGTGGAAACTTTACACTGGACTTCAAGCAACGTGGATGAAGTGCCTCTCTTCTTTTCCTCCAGACTCTGGGACCTTGATTTCCAAAGGAAATGCAAAATTTACTTTCATCAGAGAACATGACTTTGGACCACTCACCAGCAGTCCAGTCCTGTTTCTCTTTAGACGCTTCTGACGCTGTCTGTGGTTCAAGAGTGGCTTGACACAAGGAATGCGACAGCAGAAACCCATGTCTTTCATACGTCTGTGTGTGGTGGTTCTTGAAGCACTCACTCCAGCTGCAGTCCACTCTTTGTGAATCTCCCCCACATTTTTGAAGGGGTTTTGTTTCACAATCCTCTCCAGGGTGCGGTTATCTCTCTTGCTTGTACACTTTTTTCGACCACATCTTTTCCTTCCCTTCGCCTCTCTATTAATGTGCTTGGACACTGAGCTCTGTGAACAGCCAGCCTCTTTAGCGATGACCTTTTGTGTCTTGCCCTCCTTGTGCAAGGTGTCGATGGTCGTCTTTTGGACAACTGTCAAGTCAGCAGTCTTCCCCATGATTGTGTAGCCTATAGAACTAGACTGAAAGACCATTTAAAGGCTTTTGCAGGTGGTTTGAGTTAATTAGCTGATGGCAGGGGCCATCAATTTTGAACCTTTTCACAATATTCTAATTTTCTGATATGATGAATTTGAGATTTTCATTTGTTGTCATTTGTAATCATCAAAATTAAACAAAATAAACATCTGAAATATATGAGTTTGTATGTAATGTATGAATATAATATACAAGTTTCACTTTTTAAATGGAATTACTGAAATCAATCTACTTTTTCATGATATTCTAATTTTATGACCAGCACCTGTATTCTCTTGTTTCATGACATTTCACCTCTGATCCAAAAGCCTTCCTCAGTCCTGGACATGGTTGGAAGAAACGGTCTCATAAATCACTGAGTCAATAAGGTCATCCTCATCGTTACTTAACAATCCAAAGATGCCGTTCTGTGCTTTAGTTTGAAAAACAACTTTCTTCTCTCACATCAAATCCCTGCATTGATGAAACATTATTGCAGGCTTTCATTTAGTTCCTGTGTCTCTGTCGGGCAGACCCACAGTGGATCTGATCGGCGCCATGGAGACACAGAGCGAGCCCTCCGAGCTGGAGTTAGACGACGTGGTCATCACGAACCCTCACATCGAAGCCATTCTGGAGAATGAGGACTGGATAGAGGATGCATCGTATGTCTGCCTGCACTCTTTTTAGGATGGATTTAAAACCATTTTTATGACACTACTGATGGCATTTTAATTTTTGTTCAAGTTGATTAATGTAACTATGAATTTGTGTTCAACAGCGGCTTGGTGTCACACTGTATCTCTATTCTAAAGGTAAATTAACTAAAGGACATTTAACCTTGTTTTATTGACCTGTTCTAAAAATAAGTAAATATTTCTTAAAATAAGTATTTGTCCTTAATTTGAGCACGTAAATAAACTGATCCACCAACAGCTTCAGTATTTTCCTCTTAGAATGAGAGAAATACATTTAATACACTTTAAATAAGATAATTTAGTTTTTCTTTTTCCAAACATAAATTATTTCATTTCGATGGCAAATTCTTACCAGCTTAAAATAGGGGGAAATACCTTTTTTTTTTTAGAAGATTAGTTTACTTGTTTTCCAGTGTGCTTTTTTATTTATGGATTGACCTTTCTGATCCGGCTGTTCCACACAGATTTGTCACACTTTGACTGAAAAGTTGGTGGCCATGACAATGGGATCAGGGGCAAAGGTCAAAGCACCAGCCAGTTTGAGTGACATCATAACAGTGGCCAAACGGATCAGTCCAAGGTAATAAGTCTTACAGTGCTTGTTGTTATTACAGTTCTAACACCCGCTGACTTGGTCTCTTATTTTCTTTCTTACAGAGTAGATGATGTGGTCAGGTCAATGTACCCTCCACTGGATCCAATCCTGCTGGATGCCAGGTTGTCCCATCTGAATGCTTAATGCAAAGATTTTTAACTCCATATATATATTCATTTGACCAACATCTGCTTTTAATTTAAATGTGCTCCTCTTGTCTCTCCTCAGAGCCACTGCTTTGCTCCTTTCAGTCAGCCACCTGGTGCTGGTCACCCGCAACGCCTGTCACATGTCCGGCAGCATGGACTGGATCGACCAGTCGCTCCATGCAGCGGAGGATCACATGGTTGTTCTGCGTGAGGCGGCTCTGGCTTCTGAACCGGAGCGAATCATACCTGGAGCTGATGCTCAGAGAGAACAGGCCATTTGAAAGGAGAGAAAAAAAGCAGCTCAGATCTGTAGAATACCGTTTGAATAATTCAGTTTAAACTTTCTGACAAAAAGAAGCAAACTTTTGAGTCTGCATGAAAAACACACATCTATTGCTACTCATGGACAGAATATTATATGAATTCCTTTAGAAATCTTTTCTGAAATGCATCATCCAGCAGTAGACCTAAATTCAGTCAAACAGGCACTGCAGAGTCACAAGGAGGCTTAGTCAGCTAATCCATCCTGACCAAAATAACATCCATTAGCCAGTGAACCTGAAGGTACTCATATACAGTTTACCAAGGCAGGACAAGCCTGGCTGGCTGAGTATGTGTGGGGTCAGTTTGACATTAGGATTTGGTGAAAAATCTAAGTTATCTGATGTTAGAACAGACAAGGTGTGTTTCTTTTAGGCTTTTGTTCATTTTCTTCCCTCACTCCTGAGACATTTCAGAGGTGCAACTCTTACTTGAGTTCACACATTTAATTTAAAAAACGACATTATGATAATAGAGCAGATATTAAAGGTATAGCGGAGGATATCTTTTTCCAGGTGGATCATCAAAATAAGTGGTGCTCCTAATTGTCCTAGTGTTTACCTAAGGCCGTCCAATGTGCTCATCCCCATTTTTACTTAGCGAGTCTGACATAGTGGAAAAATTGCAAATCTTCTTTTGGAAAGTAAGCTTGTATGAGCGATGCAAACAGCAACTTTCAAACAGAGCGTGCACAAGGAGAAATGGGTTCCTGCATGCTCCTACATGCATTTAATAGGCGTTCCCTCTCAGGAGCGGGTACAGGGTTGTGCATGTGCATTTTGTTTTAAGTGGAGAGGGTGGGTCTTTTCAAAATTCGCCTCCTCTATACCTTTAATGCTGTAGATTCTCCTGCTGGAGTTTCTGGTAGAGACCTCATTTCTTCTTTTTTTCTATTATATAAATAAACCGCAAAGCAGCTACAGACTGTTACACTAAATCTCCACTATGTGTATGATCTTCTCTCTCTGAAATGCGGTGTTCGCTCCCCACCAGATGCAGAGCTCTCCAAAAGTTCTTTTTTGGTGTCATCGGTTGACACTATTTCCCAAAGAGTCTTAAGGATCATATGGAGGCAAAACATTAAAAAGCCTTTCAAAAACAAATGTTTTTTAATAGGAGCCATGCCTTTGTTTTATTTTTAATCAGCAATGGTTTTTGTGTTGTAACGCTTCCATTGATGCCATCTTGTTAAATGAGGCCTGCAGTACCTGATTTACTGTCAGGTCGGCCAATTCGGGAAAGGTTGATCTCTGTTCCATGTTTTTTTTTTATCCGTCTGTGGATAACGGGGCTCATTGCATTTCCCTGGAGCCCAAAAGGCCTTAGAAATGAGTTTACAATCATATCCAGACTAACATTTTATCCCCGTCTGCCTCTGAATGTATTTAGATCAAGATGTTTTATTTTGAAATCTTTTAGGTCAAATCAAGTAGTTTTCTTTGTTTTTACGTAACTTTATCCGATATTAGATTTTATTTAGTCATTTGTAACATTTCAATGTGATAAAAGCAAACCCTTTAATACAGCTGAATATGCCATGATGACACACCAATTTTTTGTTGATTGAGGTGAAGCAGAATTAGCACTTTGAGCCAGAGGGATGTTATTGGAGCATGTCTACCTGCTCCTTCATGCATAGCTAATAGTGAATCCCCAAGGAGCCGTAATAAGGCATTACCCACGGACGATGTGAACGCAGTGGCCTCAGCTACAGCCCATGCGTCTTTGTACACAAAGTCCTGGCACAAGCATAACAGTTGGATGACAATGAGAAACACTAATATATTTGGTGACAATCAGAACTTGCTGAAAAAGAGAAGATGTTCTCTACTTTGTCTATAAAAAAAACATTGCAACTGAGCACACAAAGGCTTTCTGGTAAATATACAAATGAGGAGATCATAGAAAGTTCTTGTCTTTTTTTGTTTATATGCACCGACTTTCTTGAAAAGTTATACTTTCTCATTTTCATTCAGTATGTCTTAGTACCATAGATTTTTCTATTTTTAATATTTTGTACAGAAAAATGTCCTATAGGAACCCTGTGGTTCCTGTAGAAAAATTGTTTGCAGTTAAAAGTTCACACTCTTATATTGCTCCGACATAAATAAAGTGATTTTTTTTTTTCCTGTTTACTACACTCTGAGCAGTCCTTTGTGCAATAAAGGTAGAGCCATCCCTGCTTCCCCCTTCCTGTCCCATAGATGTTCCAGGTGCAGAATCATCAGACCATCAAGATTTCACTGATTCCAGTTGTCTAATAAAACAGTTCTTTGCTTTTCTTCAGATCAGTTTGCTTGCAGCTTGGAAGGGAAGCACTTCATTTCCAACATAGCCTAAAACAGAAAAGGTGTAGAAAAATTAAAAGAAGCGAAACACAAGATTTGAATAATTAGCTTTATCTCAGGATGTTATGATTCTGCTGCAAGCGCATAATTATTCTTTTCTAGTGAACATTGCCCTCTGCTGGTTGAAAGAAGCCAATGTAGTGCTAGTGGTTCGTGTTCTCTGGGGGTTACCTGAAAGTCCTGACCAGACAGTTAGACCTCCAGGTGCTGTGGCTCCACTCCTTCAGTTAAGGGGCTCTGCAGCTCTTCCACAGGGTGTTGGCTCTTCATGAGCTGGGCCAGGGCGTCCTGCACCAAGGTCAGCTTCACTTCCCCCGAGTCCCTCTACAACACATCATAATGGAGAAGTGTAATTGCTTAATAACAAAAATACTTTATTATTAAAAAGGGCAGCCACAAAACAAATAATTTTATTTCATTATGTATCATTTGAATTTTTTTAATTCAACCGCCAAATGTTCTATTATTTGAAGGTCTTTCAAAGATATAAGTTTACTGAGTAAATTAAAGGATTTTTTTTCCCCAGCAACATGGGTTTAATATTTCTTAAAGGACCGAGTAGGTTTTTTTAAACTCTAATTTTGTGTTTTTTATCCTATTTTATATGTTTTTCTTTTTGCTATCAGGCAGGTGAATTTCCCCTATCAGTAATTAAGAAAGTATCTATTTATATATCTAACTATGTTTGACAACAGGAATTGAAGAATTTGCTGTTAAATGTTCAAAAGAAATATTCATGAGATGAAAAACTGTCAATACCCAATATCATTTTTGAACCTATCCCTTTTAAGAAAATTGATAATTCATCCATAACCTTTACCATCTTTTGTGGCTGCTAAATGGAAGAGGGGAAATTAAATAGATATAAACCTGCTTAAAAGAATAATCTTAAAATGTTGCATATTCAGTGTCTATACTCACTTTGATGCACCCAAATAAAAACAAAAAAACGTGAAATCTATTTCTTTCAGTAGAAACCAGATAGGAGGATATTATAGACCACCTGGGTTTGATTTATTCTAAGGATAAATACAGGTAATGATGGCGACAGCAAATATGTGTGGAAATAAGCTCTACTAAGAAGAGGCAACTTGCATCTGGAAACATTTTGCATGTCGCTCAGAACACAAACCAAATATGAAACAAAACAAACATAGAAATTAGGACTGTACTGTGTACTTGGGTGATATAATATATAATGCTTATATATTCTTCCTGCCTGAGTAATCGCATTAACACTATAAGGGCAGTTTTTGATGTTTAACCCAAGCTTCCTTCAACCCTAAACCTTGCAGTTTAGGCTGGAAATAGTCTTATTGGAGAGTCAAGAGTAAAATATAAATACATGCCACAGCTACATTTCTTTTAAGGTCATAGTTAGAACTTTTTCTTAAAAACTAAGAAATGGTGGGTTGAAGTCAGAGCTCAGATCATACATTGCCTGGCCAAAAAAAAAGGTAATTCACTCTAATACTTTATTGGACAGCCTTTAGCTTTGATTACGGCACGCATTCGCTATGGCATTGTTTTGATAAGCTTCTGCAATGTCAAAAGATTTATTTCCATCCATAGTTGTATTCATTTTTCACCAAGATCTTGCATTGATGATGGTAGAGTCTGACCCCTGTGCAAAGCCCTCTCTAGCAAATCCCAAAGATTCTCAATGGGGTTGAGGTCTGGACTCTGTGGTGGCCAATCCATGTGTGAAAATGATGAGTCATGCTCCCTAAACCAGTCTTTCACAATTTGAGCCCGATGAATCCTGATATTGTCATCTTGGAATATGCCTGCGCCATCGGGGAAGAAAAAGTCCATTGATGAAATAACCTGGTCATTCAGTATATTCAGGTAGTCAGTTGACCTCATTCTTTGAGCACATGCTGTTGCTGAACCTAGACCTGACAAACTGCAGCAACCCCAGATCATAACACTGCCCCCACAGGCTTGTACAGTAGGCACTAGGCATGGTTGGTGCATCACTTCACCTGCCTCTCTTCTTACCCTGATTGGCCCATCACTCTGGAACAGGGTAAATCTGGACTTAGACCACATGACCTTCTTCCATTGCTCCACAGTCCAATCTTTATGCTCCCTAGCAAACTGAAGCCTTTTTTTCCCGGTTAGCCTCACTGATTAGTGGTTTTCTTACCGCTACACAGCTGTTCAGTCCCAATCCCTTGAGTTCCCGTCGCATTGTGTGTGCGGAAATGCTCTTACTTTCAGTATTAAACATAGCCCTGAGTTCTACTGTTGTTTTTCTACGATTTGATCTCACCACACGTTTAAGTGATCGCTGATCACGATCATTCAGGATTTTTTGTTCGGCCACATTTCTTCCTTGAAGATGATCGGTCCCCGCTATCCTTCCACTTTTTAATAATGCGTTGGACAGTTCTTAACCCAATTTTTGTAGTTTCTGCAATCTCTTTAGATGTTTTCTCTGCTTGATGCATGCCAATGATTTGACCCTTCTCAAACAGACTAACATATTTTCCACGACCATGGGATGTGTCTTTCGACATGGTTGTTCAGGAAATGAGAAGCAAGTCATTGCACCAGTTTGGGTTAAATAACTTGTTGCCAGCTGAAAGATAATCGCCCATGCAGTAATTATCCAATAGGAGGCTCGTACCTATTTGCTTAGTTGAATCCAGGTGGCGACTTTTTTTTTGGCCAGGCAGTGTAGTAGCTCTATGATAGAGCTGAGAAATGTCTTCTTTTGGTTTTACATTTCTCAGATTCAAGAAAGAAAAAACAAAATGGAGGCAAAAAATAAGGGAAGACATCGATCAAACTTTTGAGCTCTGATGTCAATTTAAGGAAGCAAAGCAGCTTAGAAAGACAGGTAAGTTAAATGTTTGATAATGCCAATTATAGGTTAGTATATTCATTAATAGACCTAGGAACAAATACATTCATTTACTAATATCTGCTGTTAAATAAAAATGGGCTTAATTTTTCCATTTGCATTCTTAAAGAGAATCTATCATGTAAAATAAACCTAACCCATTTGGAACCAAAGTTTCTCTTACTTTATGGAGCTGGAACTGCAATATGCAAAACATCTAATCTCCTTTCTGGCAGGAAATACTTTAACCTTATCTGCATACCTGAGTGAGAGGTCTGAGATTCCTCTCCCAGCGGGGGAAGACATTAGTGAAAGTAAGAGGCTCGGATCCCTCAAAGATGAGGTATGCCTGTGGGGGTCTTCTTGGGTTTATCTCTGTGGATCAAAAGGAGCAAATTAACCAGAAAAAAATGCATGCTTTTATTTCTAAGGCAATTAAGTTGTGAAAGCCCCCCTGACCTTTGCAGTATTGCAGAGCTGTCTGCATGGCACATTTTCTCTCAT